AACTCAAAGTAGCGGGCACCCAAGGTAGCAGGAGCCGCTTCTCTGCAGGACAGCAGAGGTACATATACCCAACTAATTACACTCAGCTTCACTTAATTGACATCATCTAGACACAGCAGTCAGTCATTAAGGAATCCTCATCATCTTAATGGCTCGCTGGCGTTACTTCACAAACCACTCCTCCTAGCACACTGCCAGGTGCCATCTTAACTTGGTTGTGGCCCTCATCAGTCGTTGACTGCTAACTTACATGACAGAGTAAACGCATGGACATCACGGACCTCATTTTCTTACATGTAGAAAAGTATTAGAATGATCTAGTTTTTTAAACATGTCCAGGTGACAGATTGTTATTTAAATTCAGTTTCAATTTCTTCAGAACTTTGGAAGGATGAAATCTTTTCCAGATCTTCACAGGTAGGTAAATAGTTTTCTTTTTCACATGATAATGAGAGTAACTTTTTCCATTCTAGAAAAATCTTTGTAGGCCTTCCTCTACATAGGATATGACACACTGGGTTCTGGAACCCATCAATCAGAAAGTTGTACTAAATATCAAATCATCCTTCTAAACTCTAAGTGGAAACTTCGCCAAGTATTCCGGAACTCCATGCTGTCCTTCTAGCATGTCCTGGTGTTCTCCATGTACCCAAGGCAGGGACATCTGGCATTAGTTTGTGGCTCATCCTTCCTCATAATCAGGAGAGATTAGAGCCCTGGAAAAAATGGCAAGTGACGTCGTTCCTTCAGACAGCAGAAGTATTAGCAGAACTACCATTTCTATACTTTCTGACAGTCCTTCCTCTTTCTCAAGGTCTGGAAAAATTTATATAAAAGTATGTAGCCAAATGCAGCAGAAGTTGGAAAGGAGAAGCTTTGGTGTTTCAAAAAAGAAGATTTCTCACCCCTGCTTTTAAAATGATTTCAAAATTGATGTTTTAAAGGTTATTATACCCAAATTTAATATTGTTAAATTTTTAGAATTAAAAAGGAATATTTCGTACGCACATAATAGCGAACTCCTCCTGCATGATTAGCTGCAAAATATACCCCCAGGCTGTTCTCTTCCATTATCTGCAAGTAATTGTCTCTCTCCTGCATCCCTGTGTCATCTGGCACTGCCATTTCTGTTCCTGAGACTCTCTTTTCTTCGTAGCACCATCTTCCAACTGCCAAAGGGCACTGATTTTGAAACAAATGGTTTTGGCTTTCTGATTTAATTTCGGCCATTGCTGTGGCCATGGCTATTTCACGTTTTTGTTTTGTTTTGTTTTATTGAGTGACACGATGTAAAAAGGTTTGTACTCAGTGAGGTGACAGATATGCCCTCACCTTTGAAGCTGCTTTGATCAAGTTAGTTCTGAATTGGGAAGAACAGAGGCATTTGATTTTTTTTTTTAACCTTGAAAATTACATTTATGTTGTATTTAGGAGGCAAAGGAAAATCACCTTTCATCATGAAATGCTTGTTTTTCCTCTCTCACTCAGGCCTACCAACGCCATCACTATGACCGATGGGGACTATGACTATCTGATTAAACTCCTGGCCCTTGGAGATTCAGGGGTTGGGAAGACGACATTTCTTTATAGATACACAGATAATAAATTCAACCCTAAATTCATCACTACAGTGGGAATAGATTTCCGGGAAAAACGTGTGGTAAGTTTCTAATCGTACTGTTCACCTTGCTGCTTCTCATCCTGTATAAAGTCAGAATGAAAAAGCTACGTGTGTGGCACTGAGAAGTGTCTTTTGTCACAAGGAACTCATATCCTGACTCTAGAGTATTATTTACTTCTTTTTTTTTTTGGCTATAAATAACATTTTGCTAGTAAAATATTGAATGGCATAATCTCTTGTCTCCAAAGGTATTACAAGGCAAATAAATAACTTTTGGATTTGTGTAGTGTGTTTCCTATGAATTCTTTTTCTAAAAATAGTTTTTATTTTTTAGTTGTAGTTGGACACAGTATCTTTAATTAATTTGTTTCTTTTGATGTGGTGTTGAGGATTGAATCCAGGGCCTCACCGGTGTTAGGCAAGCGCTCTGTTGCTGAGCCACAACCCCAGCCCTCCTATGCATTTTTAAGAAATTTTTCCAAATTTGAGTTATTCAGGATCTCAAAAAAAAAAAATTAACTCCTTGATCTGAGTTAAATTCCTTAAAAAGACCAAGTGTAAGTCTTGCTTGTAACAAAGAGGTTAAAAGCATGATTGGCAAAGAGCTGGAACATGAGCTCTGTAAGTTCTTGCTGCATTTTTATTTACGTGGAGCCTCAGCCATCAATCACTGGCTGATTATGAACAGAATGTGAGACCGATTTCATGCTCTTTTCCAAGATAAGGGAGTTTAAGTGAGAATCACAACCACCCTTCTCCTATGCTAGACACTAATGACAGGAATAAGGATATTGTGACATGTGAGACATGCAGCATAGGCCCATAAGCTTAGCCAGATTTCTTGCCACCCAAGTTTTCCTGACTGCCAAGATGGCTGTGGCTCCCAGTTGATGTCACAAATCCACTCATTCCTGGAGAATTCAGAAAGAAAACAAAGGAAATGGGTGTTGGAAGGCCACTGCCTGAGACTTTGAGTCATGACCTGTACTTTATCTTAAAGTCCACACCTTGCAGTGTGGTTTTAGCAAACATTGCTTCCCCAATGCCCCCACTCATCTGCATATACATCCTTGCAAAATCTTCCCTTGAAGACATTTTTCACTAAGCCAATAAACTTACTTAAAAAGCCCCTTTGAAGAAATGGCTAGTTACAAGAAGGCCTGAGATGTCCTGTGTTAACTTACTGAGAAATTCTGTGTATATTTCACAGCTCAGTCATTTGGAAAGTCCATTTCCACTCTTGATGAAATTCAGGTATTTGTAAAACACTTTACTATTTAAAAAAAAATACTTTCCCCTTTGTAATTTCATTTTAGTTTGCAGTAACTCTGCTAAGCAGGGAGGGATTACAGGACTCGGTTTGAAGATAAAAATATGAGACTTGGGTTAAATGAGGGGTTGATTTTTGAACCTAGAACTTGTGTCCTAAATTTGATGTTTGTTGCCTCTATAAGGAAATGACAGAAAGTTTCTAATTTAAGTTTGCAATATGGTTAAATGGCATTGGAAATCATACTTGAACTTGACATTTAAAAGTTATATATATAACTTTTAAATTATATATATATATGAATGATATTTGTGGGGAAAAAAATGGAGCAAATATTTCTTCTGTACTATGAACTTTGATTATAGTATTCAAGAGAAAACACACTGATGGAACCCAGAGAATTAGAATGTTGACAAGAATCCAAAGCAATATTAACTGAGGGGAATTTTATCTTTCAGGTTTATAACACACAAGGACCAAATGGATCTTCGGGGAAAGCATTCAAGGTGCATCTGCAGCTTTGGGACACTGCAGGACAAGAGAGGTAATAGGAAATCACTTTATTTCTAGTGACATATAGCCCAGAAAAAAATTATTTTAAATGAATGCTGGATGTGAACTTGAAAAACAAATCATATGCTACTGTTCTCCTCATGCAAAAACTGACATTTGTTTTGGCCAGGGGTGGGAGTAACCAGGGAATGAACTCACGGTGATTCAACCACTGAGCCACATCCCCAGCCCTATTTTGTATTTGAGACAGGGTCTCACTGTGTTGCTTAGTGCCTTGCTGTTGCTGAGGCTGGCTTTGAACTCATGATCCTCCTGCCTCAGCTTCCGGAGTCTCTGTGATTACAGGCATGTACCACCGCACCTGGCTTAAAAATCGACATTTTATTGAGAAATAAAAATAAATGATTTCTAGTTAACTAATCATACTAGCATTGTGGAGCTCCTACAGATACAGAGATCGGATTCAAGTAAATCGGACTCTGCTTCTACTAGGAAAAAGCCTCTCCGGGGTTACTTGCATGAAGATGTGAAAATGCTGTTATAAGCGCTACTTGAGGTGGGAGTTGACAGAATGTTCTCCTCTCTTCCTATTCTTCTGTGAAGCCTTGGTCCCCTGCCAAGTGACTGACTTGACTCTCTCAGATTTTGGTTGTACCTTTGCCCTCCATCTAGAATCTTGAACTCCCTTCCCACCTTTCTCAATGTTCCCCTGTCACCAGGCCTGGCTCAAATTCCACCTCCTGGTAAAACCTCTCTGAGCACCCCAGCTGAAACAAAAGGCCCCTTTTTTCTGAACACTTGTGGCCCCTGTCCTACCTCCTTCCATTACTAAATTAATTAAATACCACTTTGTAAAAAGGCAAATCTTCTATTTCTACCTCGAACTGGTCTATATTGATTCTCTTGTGGTTTTTCTCATCCCATCAAAATTGTGAGCTTTCTAAGGGCAGAGACTTTACCTGGAGCTCCAGTATCAGCCCCCAATACAGTGTCCAGGATCATGGATACTCAGTACCCAAGAGTGTTGGTTGCTTCGAGCTGGAGGTATCATTCCGTTATTTAATAAAGATGCATTTCTTTGGTTTCTTTTGGATCTAATATTTTGAAGAGTCACAGTTAATGAATCTTTTCAACAATGGATCCAAAAAAAAAATTTAAATCGGCAATAGATTGACAGCAGATGTTGAGAAGGTACGTACCTCCAAATCCTGCATCGCGTGTCTTAGAATGCTCATGCTTGTAAACACTTCCATTTTTGAAATGCATCCAAAGTGTTCTCACTTTCCGTGGGTGTAAACGTCGGGAGAGGTGCTGGGCCCTCTCCGTTAGCTTTTTTGACTGTGAATTCCATTTACACACACCCTTCAACACTACTGCTTCCTCGGAAGCCGCTCCTCCTGCGAGTCTCTGTTCGCGTGTCAGTTTTGTTGTCACCAAGATGGATGCTGTATAGACCAATTTAATTCATTTTTGAAGAAGTAATAGGAGAAAATGTGGTTCCCATATGTCCTCGCACATGAGATGTCAGCTTAGCATGATGGCAGGCTTCTCTCATCTGTCCCCCTGAGACAGCTGCGCGGTGAGGGAAATGGGGAATACTAGGGGCAGTCTTAGTCACACTTGGGTTACTCATCCCCTGAGAAGGCAGCGTTCTGTGTATGTGGGGCGTAGCTAGGCAACGAGATCAGCCCTGCCTCACACCTCGGCCCTATGCCTCAGGACATCTGGCAGGATGATCCGTGTAGGGTAATGATTATTGATGGAAGTTACCTCGTAGGAAAGAGGAAAAACACATGATCCTTCCGTGAACCTAAAGAATATGGGACATAGCCTTAGTGCCAGGTGAGACAGACAGAATGACAGGTGACTGACTCTGGCCTCTGTTTCGTTATGTGGTCCTATCTGTCTTCACCTTGCTGATCCCTGGGCAGAATGAGGCAGCGGGGGTTGGGGGACAGGAAACTGGAAAGTGCATTTCTGTTTTCCCAGGGCAAATGAAGGTTAACAGGAATACTGGGCAGAACAGACCTCAGAGTATCAGAACCGCCCAGAACTAGAGCGTCCTGCCTACACGACTGTGAAGGAACATGGGACCAGCCCAGTCTGGTCTCTACAGTAGGTGTGTCTTAGAAGGACTTCTTGTGTACTGTAGGCAGCCCGAGAGGGTGACAGTCTTGTCCTCAAGTGAGAAACATGCACACTCAGGGAACAAAGAACAGTTTTCGTAGCCACATCACTATTATGGTTGGGCAGGAAATGATTCTGTGGGTACAGCTAGTCTTGAAAGAGAGAGAACCATTCAACAAAAGCACTGTAATCTCCATGAGCTCCCAGCGAACCATAGAAACAGAGTCACAGAGGAAAAAAAAATGAGTAAATATTCTTATATTTTATGCTACATCTTCAAATCTTCTCTATGGAAGAAATAACTACTTTGGGGAAACAAATAGTAACTAAGTCATCTCTTTCCCCCTTCTTTGGTATTAAAAGTAGCCTTCTCTATGGAAGTCATTTTAAATATTTAATAATTTTCTATCTTTACTCTCGTTTTCTTTCTATTTTTCTGTTACTATCTTTAATATCATAAATATTTAAAAACTAATCCCTCAATGGATGGTGAATCAGAAACACAGCTGCTTTTCCCCTCGGAGAGACCAGCGTAGGGTGGAAACTGAACAGATGAGTGATTGCAATTCTGCCCTAGAATAGTGACAAGGAATCAAAGGTAGTAAGTGAGCCCTCCAGGAAGAGGCTGTCACCCAGATGTGGGTGCTGGGGCAGCCCCTGGAGGAATGCTGTTTCCACTGGTGCCATGTTTATGCCCACACACAGAGGATGAGTGAGGCTTATCCACTCTAAATGAAGGAAAGGGGAAAGGATGCCTTAATGTGAGGTCACCCACCGAAAGACCAGCATGTGGGAGAGCCCGGGGAGGGGGGTGAACTTTCTCAGAGCTGGAGAAGCTCAGCATGCCTGTGGGTAGTGAGGAGATGAAGCCGAAATGATGAACAGCATCTTGTCCCTGCAGAGCCCAGACAGCTTTATTAAGGAGCTGGGGTGTTAAGAGTCATCTATAATCGTTAAAATGTTGGTAGTAGTCATCAATATGAAGCAATGCAGGTACCAAACCTAGAGTCTTGGCAGGGGAGATGGACAAAACTGAGCAGGTCAAGAGGTCTGTGTCACCTGCACACATCAGGTGAAGGAGACAGAAGTTGTGACAGCCGGGTCAATGACGATGGCACTGACAGGAAAAGAAATCAGGAGGAGGGGCTGGTTTGTTTTTGGACATAAGAAATTGGAGACACCTCAGTTTCCCCCAAGTGGAAATATCCAAGTAACTAGGCATTTAGTGTGAAGGGCAGGAAAGATCTGGATCTATAAATGAAACTTGGATTTCTCAACACATAAGCTATAATTGAATCAAAAAAGTAAATGACGTTATCTAGTGCATACTTACAAAATGAGAAAAGTCAAGAATAGAACTTTGAGCTGGGTGTGGTGGCACACACGCCTGTTATACTAGCAACTCAGAAGGCTGAGGCAGGAGGATCACAAGTTCAAGGCCAGCCTCAGCAATGTAGTGAGACCCTAAACAACTTAGCTAGACTGTGCCTCAAAATACAAAATAAGAAGGGCTGGGGATGTGGCTCAGTGGTTAAGCGTCATTGGATTCAATCCCTGGTACAAAACAGAAAACAAACAAACACACACATTTGAGAAAACCAACATGAAAGATCTTTTTAGACTAAAATAGGAAATGAACACTTGGAGGACAATTAGGATAGAAGGTGATATACGTCTCCATTTCCAATTCAATGCCTTTCTAAAACCCATTGTCAAATTCGAAACCTTTGGTCCCTGTGTGCCGTCTGTGGTTTTGCCCATTGCTAATGTCTCTGGGGATCTCAGCAGACCTTCAGCTTCCCTGAAGAAGTCGTGGGGCTGGGAGAGAAGCAGGAGAGAAAGGTTGTCCCCATTGCACCCAGAAGAGCATGTTCTTCAACATCCTCGTTAGAAATGAGTGAAGAACCTTCCTTTCTTTTTCCAACTTCTCAGCCTCTTCTGTCCTGCCCTCCTCTGGGCATCCTATTCATCTTCCTCTCCTAAGAACTAGATGCCAGCTCAGAGCTCCATTTTCCCCCAGGAGTGCTTTAAAAAGAATCAATTCACCAAACATTTTCCTTACAAAAGAAGTCTAGTTCCAACTGCTAACAAGTTGTGGTTTTCTTCATATGCTTCCAGGCATTCATTTTCAAGAATTTTTGTGCCAAGTTTTCTTCTGGGCACAGACAAGAAAAATTGAAAAGTATAAGTTTAAGTCCCCGCTCTCTCAAGTAGCTTACATTCTAACTGTGGACCATGCCATGCCCATGAACCAAGAAGGAAAACATTCCAGGAGGCTGCGTAAGCAAGCATGGGATTAACTATTACAGACACAGTGCATCTATAAGTGCCCAGGGGCTATCAAACCAGGACAACCAAAGTCTGGCCTGGCCCTCCTGCCATCTGTCTTCCTGCTTTCCTCAAAGGAGGAAGCCTTTACAGCTTTCTAACCACCATTTCTGTAGGATAATCCAGCAGGATCAGTCATGGAGACTTCACACCCAAAAGGGAAACAGTGTTGCTGGTTCCGTGATCATAAGTCTGTGGACTAACTCCCCAATCCGCCCACTGTGCTTCCTCGCAGGTTCCGGAGCCTCACCACCGCGTTCTTCAGAGACGCCATGGGCTTCTTGTTAATGTTTGACCTCACCAGTCAACAGAGCTTCTTAAATGTCAGAAACTGGATGAGTAAGTGGGACTGAGTCACGGGTGCACTGGCTGCGTTGGGATCCAACAGCTCCATAGCTTGTTTGACTTGGGAGATGCGGCCAGGTTGGGTACCATGGGCTATCTTTGAAAAGGCATAAGAGTTTAGTATTTCCTGTGTCACCTTCACAGTGGTGGCCTCTACCTGGATCACCCAAGGTGGCTTGGAATCACATTTTCCTTTGACCCTGTTCCTGGAGGAAGCCTTTGCAGCTTTCTAACCACCTCTATTTAAGGTCTTTATTATTGTAATTAAAAGACTATGAATACCACTTGTCTAGTAAGTCTTGAATGACTTGTTACAACTAAGTGAGCTTCCACTTCTGCAGCTCCTCACCTGGGAGGGCACAGAGAACAAGAGCAGTGTTTTCTGAGATGGGGACATTGGCCCTCTGATGTGTTCACGGATGAAAGGCTTAAAGTAGCCAGAAATTGCTCCAGGTCAGACTGCTGTATGAGGGGAAGGCCTAGCCCCTCAGTCATTCAGCTCACATTGGAATTTACTTCTCAAGCAATTGTTCAAATATGAGGACCCTTTTTTCTCATCGAGGAAAATCTCCAGCCTCCATGGCCACCTAGATATGATACACAACTGAAATGCTGCCTGATCAGTCATAGAAGTGGGGTTGGTACACATCACCCCAGGAGGGAAGTGTCAGAATTTGCCCTTATTTATTTTTTTTATTTGACATGTACCACAAAAGAGACTA